GATTGTGGTAAAATATAAAATAAAATAAAATTGGATTGTGATTGTGGTTGCACAACGATGTGAATATACTAGAAAAAAATTGAATTGTACACTTTAAATGGGCGAATTATCGGTATGTGAATTACAGCTCAATAAAGCTCTGACCAAAAAATTAATAAATTAAAAAAAAAGATACTAGAGGATATTGTGGGAAGCCAGGGTCAGTCTGTCCAGTACCCATTTATACATCAGTGCTTAGACCAGTAAAATTCTCAGCAAAAGTTGTCAAAGTGTAAGAGTTTTTTTTTTTTTTTCCTTTTAAATCTTGCTGGCTTCCCCAAGCCCAGCCCAGCTCTAAGGACAGCACGTTTCATATGAATGGTGAATTGACTCAGTCTTTCTTGGAAAATGTCTGCATTTCATACTGACTCTCGAGTGATAGTTGAGCAGTGTATAGAATTAGAAGTTCACAGTTTTGCTGCTCAAGTGCCATGTAAATACTCTATTGTCAGCTAGCCTATATTTCTTCTGGCTCCACCACTTTCACCCTGGAGGGCTCCAGAGCTTATTGGTCTGCCATTAAGATCCCTCTTTGTCTTTTTGCCCCTGGAGATTTTCCTTTCTTTATTTCAGGCCCAGCTGTGAATTTCCCCCCACACTTTATCCAGCATTTCTTTGAGTTTATAATGGGAGCAGCTACTCCAATTTCTCTCTATCAAGTTGCTTAAACCGGAAGTGTCTGGTGCCTTTTTTTTTAATGTGAATACATTAAACACCAGGGTTAGATCTAGGATCGCTTTCCAAGGCAGGGGTAGGGGAAGGCAGAAGAGGATGGCATTGGAAGGCAGGAGCACGGAGTATCTAAATGATTGATCGTCTTCCTTCCTTACCCACTTCCCCCCTTTCTTGAGAGAAGAGTGACAAAGAGGGGGAAATAAGTACTGAGAAAGAAAAGCCAGCTCTTGGTGTAACCACAAAAATCCCTTCCACTTTCAGAGATGCTCGGGCCCAAGATGCATTTTTTTTCTCTGTGGGAAGATGCCCAAGGGAGAATCTTACCTTCCTTCTCTGGCTAGAGCCTAGAACAGAGGTTGTTCTACTTTGGGGCTGCAGCTAGCCCCTGGGCAGAACCTCCTGAGTTCAGTAGCATCCCACAATGATTGATTCTTTTCCTTGAATATTAAAGACTTTTTCTAAATACTCTCAGGAGGATCCACATCTGGATCTAAGATAGGGAAGGGGGAAAGCAGGGCCATTTTTGCTCAGGCCTCAGACTTTATGAGCTTCAAATGTTGGCTGCTATTGGGTGGCAAATTTGTTCAGGGTAACAGGGTAAGTCTTCACAGTGGCCATCTGGCTCTGAGTAATGAAGCCATGCCTATATAGTGGAGTGGTTGCATATGGGGGCTCTGGGGTCAGACTGCATGTGTTCAAATCCCAGCTGTGCTCATTTTTAGCCTTTAGAAGTTACTTAGCTTCTCTGTGCCAGAGATTCTTGGTAAAAAGAATAAAATAAGATAGGATCAATGAGAGCACCCACTTCACATGGTCATTTTGAAGATTACATAGGATAATCCAGATGAAGCAGTTAGTCCAGAGCTTGGACTCCTGATAAATGCTCCATAGATGGCAATATTAAACTGTGGCTTATGCCAGCCTTCAGCCCAGGATTTACTTTTAGATCTTCCCCCACAGTTTAAATAGCACACCTGAAGAGACTGGATGCTGAATATGTCCCAACTAGCCCTATCCCACCCACTTCCCAAACTCCTCAGGGCCGAGCTTAGGTTTAAGGGTAATAAGATCTCAGGTGATCCCAATGTGAGACTCAGAAATGTTTGGAAACTGTCTGAGGCATCAGTCATTCAATGACAGCCCGAGCCTATACTTTCATGGAGGAAGTGACCTTCGGGAGAAGGGTCTATACACTATTGGTCCCTGAGGGGCAGAGACAGAGACCAGGTGATGGGGGAGAGAATGGCAGAAGGAGAGAGGAACAGGACAGGGTGACATTTGCTCTCCACCTGGGCCCTACAGCTGGGCATTTGGAGAGAGTCCCTGGCATCTATTCACCTGGAGGATAATGGTTTTGATGAGATCTGCGGACTTCCAGTGCCTTAAGCGGCAGGGCTAGAGATAAGGAAATAGGGGCTGAAAGTGGGATCCAAATGGAGGACTTGATGGCTTTTGTTCTCCAGACACAGGAACTGAGTCTGAAAGTCTGAGCCAGGGCAATGGGGGCAGGGGCAGCAGGGGAGAGTTTGCTGCAGGAAGAAACTGAAGCCCCTCTTCTCACGTGGGCCTCACTGAGGTACGGGGCAGAAGCAATGTGGTTTCGGTGTCCAGGGGACAAAGTGTGGCACGGTGTGAGGAGGGGAATTATCACCCCAACCCCCAATTCCAGTGAACCCATCAGTAGTTTCAGCCAAAGCTGAAGGGAAGGCAGCAACGTTTAGGCCCTTCGTGGATCTGCAGAATCCACGTCCCACCCCTTCAGGGGCCTCCGTGTTCCCACAGCCAGAGGCACCCACCAGCAGCTGGGGCGGGATGGAGAGGCTGCCCTCGCATAGCCATGTGGGCAGTCAACCTCCACCGAGGCAGGGTAGGAATAGAGGAACAGGAGAGGACTGCCGGGGTCTTCCACAAATAAGAGGGGGAAACCTTCAAGGGACTGAGGTCCTGTAACACAGATGGGCACGGGGTCAGTGACATCCGAGTTTTTACTGCTTATGGGACCTTATTTTTACCCATGGGCCAGTGGGGGCCTGGAGAAACTTGAAACACCATTTTACAGCAGATGAAATTGTCTTAAGTACTTGGGCATATGATAGCCAGCTCCATGTAGATGCTGAGTGGTCATTTCTAATTATAACTTTGAGGTGGGTAGAGGAGCAGGGACAGGGCACTGGCAGGGTGTGATTGGGCTTCATTTATTCCATTTATCTCTAGTGACGTTAGCTTAAAAGAGAGGAAAGGCAAAAGCAAAGGGAAGAAAAATGACTAGGGAGAGAAATAAAGCAAAGAATTGCGATGGTTCTCCATTATTGTGGTTACCAGAAAATTAGCTTCATTTTTAAGACATTTTCCTTCCTGTATATATTTTCTAGACTCAGATTGTGATTCTGTATCATCAATTTCTTTTTCAGGAGAGAGTAAAGTCAACAGCACCTTCCTGAGCTGAGAGCAACTCTGGCTGAACAGGGAGATCAGAAGTCCGCTCGGACCTGGACTGGACCAGGTGTGAGCCAACAGGGTCAGAGAAGAGGGGGAAAATGGGTCCCCAGAGGCCTACCACCTAGAATTTGGTTTTCCCAACCAATGGCACCCTCTTTTTCCCCCGAGGCAACAGCACTGGTGATTGATGCATCCTCAGGCAGCCCGCAGAGCCAGATTCTTATCTATATCACCATGGGGCTGCCGATTTGTCTGCTAATCTTTGTTTTTTCTGAGAATCATTTCCCTCTTCCTGGAATCAGACCCAGTGTTTAGGGTAATGGAGCAGCGGACTTGAATCCTCAGAAGGAATTTCATCTCTGTCCTTCTCTTTCCATCCCCACTGCCCTGGCCCTAGATTGAGTCAGTCACCTGTACTATTGCAGTAGGGGGCTCGTAACTGCTCTCTGACCCTTTCCCTATCCTGCATCCAAACTGTTGCCAAGTTAGCTTTCTAAAATGTTTCTAATCATGTCACTCCTACTGTTTTTAAAAGATCTTTGAGTAAACCAATTACATGGACTATTTTGAATAAATAAAATGGCTCTGTTAGTATCAAATTCCCCATTATTCTTATTTCTTGTCTTTATAGCCTTCACCAGGATTTCAACCCATCTTACATATGCGTTTTCTTGCTTATTGTCTGTCTCCCTCTTCCATTGGAATGAAGTTTTCATTTGATCAAGGTTCTCATCCGTCTGTCCCCAAAACAGTGGCTGGCACACGTTAGATAATAAATATTGATTGAATGAAGGACTCAATACATCAAATTCTGTTAGCCACAGTTAATTCTTTTTTTTTTCATAAACGGACTTTATTTACCTTTACGATTACAAATGTAACACATGCTTACTGTAGAGAATCTGGAAAGTACAGAGAAGTAGAAAGAAGAAAATTAAAACACCCATAATCCCACCACCTGAAGGCAAACACTGCTCATATTACGCTCTAACTATCTATGCCTGTTTACAGACCAAGATCTTTATCAAGAGGGCTGGCCACAAAGCACAATAGCCAAGGGGGAGTGAGGGCAATTAACAACTGAGGGGTCACCCAAAAGTCAGAGCTAGAGATTTGACACTGAGGGACAAGACAACAGTCACTGACAATAGCTCAAGACGTAAGAAGTTGACAACACAAGAACAAATCGGGTTATGGTAAGAATGTAGTGAGATGATGCTTGTCAAGAGTTTAGCCCAGTAACTGTCACACAACACATAATCAATAAATGTTAGCCATTACTAAGATTACTACTATGGGTCAAAACGAATGGTTCAGGATGGAGACTATAAACAGGGCAAGGGCCCTGGAGACCCATTTTAGGTGCTATGAGTTGGGGCATATAGGGACAAGTGTACTGGATGAAAAGGATGGTATTGGAGCGGGCATCACTCTGCTTATAGGCTCCCCTGTCAGGTGAAATGGGACCAGGGCTTCCTCAAGTTTGCCTGATGACATGTGGCAAGACATTCTAAGGTGTTTTTGAGGTAGGACACGGTTTCTCCTGCCTAGACTTCTCCCTGGACCAGGAACTAGGACTGGCCTCGGTGGTAATGGGAGTTCAGAACCTCATACACCAAACACTCTTGAAGTCCACGCTCTGATCGCTGGGGCAGGTCAAAGGCATGTGGGGGTGAAAGAGAAGGTCAAGTCAGCCAAGTGGGAGATAGGGTGGGATGTGCCTGGAGGGGGATGCTGAAGGGGGAAGGCCACAAGGTTTAATGATGTAATTGAAAGGAATGGGTCCAGGAACCAGTCCTCAAGTTAGCAGCCAAGCTGGATATCACAGGAGAAGTGTCCAGGTAGCATTACTTGTTAGTGGGGGCCTTCTGATGGCCTGTGCTCTGTCGAAGGTGGTCGTGCAGACCCTCTTGAGGGTCTCCATGCTCTTTCAGGTAGTAACAGCGTTTGGGAACATGCTGATGCTGGGAGTGAGAAAAAACAAAAACAGCAGAGGTAAGAGCCATGCTTACTATGACAAGTGGGGTTCTGCCTGGATAATTTCAGTAACTTAGCAAGTCAAGCAACTTGGCTAATGTACCTTATTTGTATAAAGTGTGATCAAGGACTAGACTGGCCAAATTCCCTAGTGACCTGGGCCTATAACACCTGTGGCTGTAGGTGGGAGCCAGTCCCCAAAACGTGACCCCTCTTTGAGAACTGGACCTGGAATAGGTGCAGAGTTGGGCCTGAGCCCAGCCATTTCCCTCAGAATCACAAGACTTGGACCTTTAACCATCCCAGGCCCTCAACGTGGTTAATACACCCAAAATAAGTACATAGCCAGGCCCGCTGATGAAACTCTAGGTTGGGGGTTAGGGTCTAGGAGCTCAATGCCTCTCCCAGCCTCTTCCTTAGGCTACTCAAAGGAGCAGGGTGACTTTGCCATCATTACCTCATTTTTCTATTCAGAAACCTTGAGTGTGTTTCCCCATCATTACCTCCTCGGTCTCCTTTTGAGAGTTCAGTTCATTCTCCATTGCGTCCTCGTTATTCCGCTTACAGGCTGACGGCAGAACCTGGCTTGAGCAGCCCGGGGAATCCTTCTCTCCAGCCAGCTGGCACTCGGTATAGAGAGACCTGTCTATTAGCTCCTTTAGGCTGCCGGCCACCTTCAGGAAGATCCGGCCCATTTTAGTGGCAACAGCTTCCGAGAGTCCTTCCAGAAACCTGGTCCGCAGAATGGCATCAGACCAAGACAAGTGTCGGGCCAGCAGGAGGAAATCAGTGGCATACTGCCTGACTGACCTCTGGCCCTGCTTGGGATGGCAAAGGACGGCACTGAGGATGTCTATTTCAGATAGGGAGTCATATAAGCCCTGGGATCTGCTCAGGAAAGATTTATCTTCATTGGAGAGGGGGTTTCCTACCTCCATCTGCAAGATGGACCACCTCTCTGCTGCCCCCAGATGAAGAGACACCAGAAAGGCCATTTTCTCTGAATCGTTCAAAAATCCCTTCATTTGCTTCTCCTCATCAATCTCCATCTCCTCCTCCACAGAGCATGAACCCCGGGCTGCTTCCTGTTCTTCTAAGAGGTAACAGAGTGCTGGGGTCAGCATGCCAAAAGATGGGACTTCCTCTGGTGGTTGGTTCATTGTTTCAGGGGTCGTGGCAGTCACGTGTGGTGTGAACTTTGATCCAGAGGCTGTGATGTTGACGTGAGAGGCAGATGTTTCCCCAGAGTCTTTGGCTTTGATTTCCAGAGTGGACATCATTCCAGAGGCTGTGGTTGCCATTTGTGGTGTGGACATGGCTCCCGGGACTGGAGCTCTCATTAGTGGCATGGATACCCCTCTAGAGGCTGTGGCCGCCATTTGTGGCATGGACATACCCCCAGAGGCTGTGGCTCTCAGAAGTGGTATGGACATCATTCCAGAAGCCGAGGCTCTCATAAGCGATGCGGACGTTGCTCCAGAAGCTGAGGCTCTCATCGGTGATGCAGGCATCCCTCCGGAGGTTGCGTATGTCATCTGTGGCAAGGAAGTAGATCCAGAACCCACAACTCTTTTTTGCAGTGTGGACGTTGCCCCAGAGGCCATGTTTTTCATCAGCGGCATAGACATCTCTCCAGAAGCCATGGCTGACATCAATGGCATGGGCATTGTTCCAGAGGCCGTGGCTCTAATGAATGGCTTGGACATCCCTCCAGAGGCCACAGCTGTTGTTTGTGTGGTGGACATCTTTCCAGAGGCCGGAGCTCTCATTAACTCTGTGGACACAGCTTCAGAGGCTGAGGATCTCCTTAGTGGTGTGGATATAATTCCAGACACTGGAGCCCTTAATAATGGCGGGGACATCACTCCCGAGGCAGGGGCTCGCATTGATAGCATGCACATCTCTCCAGAAGCTGTGGGCATCATTTGCGTTGTGGATGTTGCCCTGGAGGCTGGGGCTCTCATCAGTGGCATGGACACCCCTCCAGAGGCCGCGGCTGTCATTTGAGGCACGGACATCACTCCAGAGGCTGTGGATCTCATTAGCGATGTAGATATCTCTCCAGAGACTGGAGCCCTCATCTGTGGCTTGGACATCATTCCAGAGGCTGTGGCTGTCTTTTGCGGAGTAGACATTGCTCCATAAGCTGGGGCTCTCAGAGGCGTGGCTATCTCTCCAGAAGCTGGGGGTCTCGTTAGTGCTGGGGACATCTCTCCAGAGGATGAAGCTCTTGTGAGCAGTGTGGACATCTCTCCAGGGTCTGAGGCTCTCATCAGTGGTGTGGACACCGCCCCAAAGGCCGGGGCTCTCATTTTTGGTGTGGACATCAGTTCAGAGGCTGGGGCTTGCGTCTGCAGTAGGGACATCCCTCCAGAGGTCATGGATCTCCTGAGCGACATGGACATCCCCCCAAAGTCTTGGGCGCTCATTGGCTGACTGGGCATCTTTCCAGAGGCTGTGGATCTCATTAGCGCCATGGGCATGGCTCCAGGGCCTGGGGCTCTCATTAGAGGCATGGACATATTTCCAGAGGCTGCGGCTGTCATTTGTGGTGTGGACATGTCGCCAGAGGCTGGGGCTCTCATTAGCGGTGTGGACATCGCTGCAGAGGCAGTGTCTGCCATCTGTGGCATAGACACGGCTCCAGGAGCGGTGTCTCTCATTAGCATTGTGGAGATCTCTCCAGAAGCTGCAGTTGTCATTTGCTGCGTGAGCATTGCTTCTGCGGCTTTGGATGTTGTTAGTGGCTTGGACAATGCTCCCGAGGCCATAGCTCTCATCTGCGGCACGGACATCACTGCCGAGGCTGTGTCTCTCATTAACAGTGTGGACATGGATCCAGAGGCTTTGGCTGTCATCCGTGGGGTGGACAGGGCTCCAGAGGCTCTCATTTGTGGTACAGTTGTCACTCCCGAGGCTGTGGCTCTCCTCTGTGACACAGACATTGCTCCAGAGACAGGAGCCCTTATTTGCGGTGTGGACACTGACCCAGAGGCTGAGGCTGTCATCTGTAGCGTAGACATTGTTTCAGAGACTGGGGCTGTACTTGGCAGTGTGGACATTGTTCCAGAGGCTGGGGCTCTCATTCGCAGTGTGGACATCGTCCCATTGGCTGGGACTTTCATAAAGCCCCTGGATGTGGCTCCAGAAGTTCTAGCCATTGCTAACTGTGTGGACATCGCTCTAGAGGCTGTGGTTGACATTTGCTCTGTGCACTTTGCTCCGGAGGTTGCAACCGTCATCAGTGGGGTGGACAGTGCTGCAGAGTCTGGGACTGTCTTTAGCAAAGTGGACACATTTCCAGAGGCTGGGGCTCTCATTCTCGGTGTTGACCTTGCTCCAGGGTCTGAGGCTCTCACTGGCGATGTGGACATCCCCCCGGAGGCTGTTGCTCTCATTGGTGGACTAGACACAATTTGAGAGTCTAGATTTTGTGTTAACTGTGAGGACATCACTCCAGAGCCTTGGGCTGGCATCAGCTGGGTGGGCATCCCTCCAGAGGTTAGGGCCATCATTACCAGTGGGGACATCGCTTCAGCGTCTGGGGCTGGCTTTGGCAATGTGGGCATTTCTCCAGCATCAGGGACTGACAGGAACAGTGAGGACATTGCTCCGGAGCCTGGAGCTCTCATAAGTGGTGAAGACACTACTCCAGAGTCTGGGCCTGACATTAGCTGGGTGGACATTTCCCCAGAGTCTTGGGTGCTTGTTGGCTGGGTGGACGTTGCTCCAGAAGTTAGGGCTGACATTATCAGTGAGGAGATCGCTTCAGAGTCTGTGCCTGACATGAGCAGTGAAGAGATCTCTCCAGAGGCCAGGGCAGTCATTAGCACTTTAGACATGGCTTCAGTGTCTTCGTCTGTAATTTGCAATGGTGACATTCCTTCAGAGCCTGGAGCTGGCATTGGCTGTGGGGACACCACTCCGGGGTTCACATCTGGCATTAGGAGTGGGGAGATCTCTCCAGGATCTGGGGCTAGCATCAATGGTGTGGACATCGCTTCAGAGGATGGAGCTGGCATTGCCAGTGGTGATATCTCTGCAGAATCTGGTGTTGCCATTAGTGCTGTGGACATTGTTCCAAAGTCAGGAATTGTCATCAGCCCTGGGGACATTAATCCATACTCTGAAGTGGACAGCAATGGGGACAGTGTCCCAGAATCTGAGGCTGGCATTAGCAATGGGGACAGCACCCCAGAGTCTGAGGTTGGTATCAACAATGGGGACAATGCCTCTGAATCTGAAGCTGGCATTAACAATGGGGACAGTGTCCCAGAGTCTGAGGCTGGCATTAGCGGTGGGGACAGTGCTCCCGAGTTTGCTGCTCCCATTAGAGGTACGGCCATGGTGTCAAAGGCTGGGGATGTCATCAGCTGTGTGGACATCCCTCCAGGGTCTGACGCTGAACTTGAGACCATAGGCTGGACACTAGAATGCAGAATTTGGACCTCTGCTCTGTTCTCTACCATTGGTCCAGAGCAGGTCGTCTCCCTGTTTTGGGGGTCGACACTTTCCTCCGTCAGCACATTGCTGAATCGCAGTGAATATAAGGGTATTGACATATCTGCCATGGCCAAAGGATAGTGTGGAGGGAACCTCTAAAGCAATTATATCAGGGGTCCTGCTGAAGCCCACGTGGCAAGAAAATCTGTAAACAGAAAACAAGTTTAGCAGTTGAAAGCAAATATCAAGAAGATTGGGAAATAGACAAATGATCCACGATGGAGACTTTTTTTATGTGTTGCCAGCTATGTGGCATCGGAGATGGGTCTATCAAGTTAAAGAAGCTGTGCAACATTAAACAAATTTGAAGCTGGAGCAAATGTCCTCTCCACCCCTATCCTTTTCAAAGCAACCCACCCCGTCACACAGCACACCCTCTCAGTTTATAAAAGCTATAAACGCGGGCAACTTAAGCAGCCAAGAGCCCGTGAGGTCCTGGTTCAAATGAAACAGCAGCACCACCTGCTGGAAAACTGTGAAAAGTGCAGGTTCCAGAGCTCTGCTCTCTCTCACCACAGCACTAGCAAGCCAGCCAAGGAACTGGCAGGCCTGGATGAGAATGCCCTTTGCCCCAGGATAGTCGTTAGTTACTTGGGCTCATTGAGTCCTGCCAGTGGTTTAGTCCCCATTTTACTACTCTGATGGCCCTGAATGCCTTTCTCAGGAAAAGGAGGGCATTTAACTGATCAATGGTTGAGAACATCATTCCATGAATTGACAATCCTGTTTATTGTGATTTTTATTATTAATAACAAAAATCACCACTATTACTACCACTTATTGCCCACCTAGTGTGTTCCAGGCACTATACTTTAGGCAACTGTACACAACTTTAAACTGTCTATAGTGCACAGAGATGTGCAAGCATTACCCGTTTGAATCTTACAAGAGATAGTAGTATTATTCCCATTTTACCGGGTTTCTCAGATTAACTGGGGCTGGGGCTAGACTAAGAGCACTGTGACAGTAAAAACTGCCTTTGACTATCGCTTCCTCCTCGGGGTTGCCTAGCCTTTGACATCCCTAAGGCCGCATTCAATTATCTCTCTGGTGTCCTAGATCATGGCTCACTGAAGCCCAGTCTCTAGCAAATACAGATTTCAAGTTTCTCTGATGACATGTGGGTGGGCAATCCCAAAGCCTCAGCCTTCCGGCACACTCCCACAAGCAGCCCCCAAAGGGGCTTCTTGGCACAGAGCTTGGAAACCAACACGCACACTACACGGTGTTGATACATCCCCACAGCCTGCCCATACGCCCAGTGGAACACTTGCTCATTTGGGACAATGTCACAGAAGTCATCAATCTTGTGCAGTGTGCCTCCATAATAATATTGAGAATACTAGCAACAGAGGTGCCAACAGTCAACACTTCTTGAGCGTGCGCTGACCGGCAAGCGCTCTGCTGGGCACTTTACGTGCATCGTTTGGTCCTCACAGCAACACTAAGCGATTTTGGTAGTACCCTATCCTCATCTTACAAAGGAGAAAACTCAGGCCCAGAGAGGCTTAATAATTTGCCTGCAGTCACTTGGATTCACGGGTCCACCCAACTCCAGAGCCCCCTACTCTTCTCCACTGTGCTATAGTGATCCACCTTGTGTGCCCTCTCTCCCTCTTAGTCACATTACCAAGACAGCACCCCGCCCCATCTCCAGCCTGGACAACCCCGAGATGGGGTTTAGTAAAAGAAATACTGGCCTTCCTGCTGGCCCCTTGGTTACTCTAATAATTGGTGCAATGGGAAAGATGAGTCAAAAGGGCGGTGATAGATGACCACCCCCGCCCCCATCTTTAGAAAAATCCCTGAACACGCCACAGTTTCCCACTAGGCAAAAGCCAGAAAGATCTTACCTTGCCAGTTAGGGAGAAGAGAGGGAGTGTGTCCTTTGTGCCCCTAGCTCTTTTGGTCTGGCCAACTTACTTATGCCCCATGCCCAGACAGTTCATTAAAGTAAGACCCAATACCAGCAGCTGTTCTCTGTGATCTCCCTTGGCTATCCCCTGCCACGCCCCCCTCCTGCCCGCCAGCCAGCCAGCCTGCCCGCCCGCCCGCCCCACTGCTCCTGACTTGCTAGTGCTTGCTCTGTCTCTCTGGTCCCAGATTCCTGCCTCTATATAGGCTCTGACATTTGCCTCTGGCCGCCTTTCACTTGACAGCCCTCCAGAAGCTCCAGAAGTGCATAGCACTTGGCCTATGCAACCCCACCCTGCTTCCCCTCGCCCCCAATTGCTGCACCAGCTCGCTCTGCCCGCCTCTGGCCGTCCCAAAGAAAAGAGGAGAGTCACACAAAGAAAGAGATGAGACCGAAAGTGTTCTAGCTCAGGAAGTGGGATGTTCCCGCTGCGGCTGCGCAGACACTGGCGTCCTGGAAGCCAGGCACTGCCACCGGTGGGCCGTGGAAGAGCGGGCAGGGCTTAGAGGGAAGGGAACCGGGGCTGGAGGCTGAGTGGAGCAGTGGCAGAAGAGCTCAAAGACGTTTGGGTGCAGGGAAACCACCGTTCGGAAGGATGGGCCGTGGGGCTTCAGAGCCCAGCAATGGCGACAATTAAAAAGCCAATTGGCTCCGGTGTCAGAGACTCGGAGGGAAATCTGGCAACCAGTGACTCTACTACAGGGCTAGAATTCAACAGCGAGGCTCCAGGGTGTCCAGACAGCTGGCAAGAAAAGCACGCCAATATCTTAAGCATACCAGGTGAGGGCTTGCTCATAGAAGCAGGGCTTCAGCCTGCTTTCTAGAACTGGGGCACAAGGTCAGAGTAGAACTAACAGGAAGGTTTGCCAGAGCTCTCTAACCTTCTGAATCAGGAGCCCTCAAACCCCTATACTAAGGGCAGAAGTGGTCCCTGAGCCCTGGATAGGGCAAAGCCTTTAGGTGAAGTTCAAGTACCCCAGGGACTCAGAGTCTAGGGCCTGGTGGGGAGGCATTCAGGTCATTATAAACCTCCCCATGCTCCAACAGCCAACAATAATTAGCAACCAACAATACCTGGGCACTCGGGCTAAGCACGACACTTGCTTCATATCCTTTGTGCCTCGTGGCAACACCTGCAAGGTAGGCACTGGCCATTCCCTTTTATTTTTTGCTTTAGAAATTTTTTTCCTTCATTTTCTTTTTTCCGATTTTCTTTTTTTATTGAAGTATAATTGATTTACAATGCTGTGTTAGTTTCAGGTGTACAGCAAAGTGAATCAGTTTTATATATAT